AATCAACAAAGAACATACCTTGATTTTGTATGATTAAATTCCTAGTCTTCCAGCGTAAAAAAAATTGAGACACTACGAACAGTTGTGAGTCTAGACTGTCTGTGCTGACGTTGCACGCGTGATATGTTAATTATAGCGTGACATATATCCAGTCAACAATAGACGACTGATTGTTACCGGGCGTTGAAGGTAATTATTAAATCAATAATTCTCTAGAAAACTAACCGTGTATAAACTGGTTGGTATTTTACTTTGAAGTAAACAAAAAACAGTGTTACCTCCCATTAATCAGTTATGTTTCTAAATTCTTTATGTATTTTACCTGCTATTCCCATACCCATTTTCATCTTTGCTTTGAAGAGTTGATGATTATTGCTCTTTGAATTCTCTCTTTGAGAGTTGGATTTGGAATATTTTCAAGATTAGGAATTTAATCTTCCAAAACAAGGTATGTTCTTTGTTTGATTTAATCATAAGACGAAAGGGTGAATTAAGATATGTTATTTGTTGTTTTTCAAAATATCAATTTTGTTCTATTCCAGACACAAGTTTAATAGATGTCAACATTTCATATCACGAAGAATATTTAAACCATCGCAGGCAGTGGGGGATACTACCAAACTCTGTGACAAATATCCGGGGATTCAAAATTGTTGATACAGATTTCGAAAATAGAACAAGTGCCGAAGAACAAGCGTTTTGGAAAAGGATAAAATATGTGACGTATATCTACCGACCGGCCAACCAGTGTTTACCTTCAAACGCAAAGTCTCTGAGTTGGATAGTTTTATTCGTCCAGCAATGAAAACATCAGCTGTCGACGCGAATATTAGATCGCTCAATCGGACATGGCTCTGTAAGGTTACGCAGGTCCTGATCGACCATTACCAAACCACACTTCAAGAGAAGCTGACCACCATTCGTACCAAGTCTTTATCATCATCTGCCGTCGACCGCATCGTTTCTCATGCCCTGTCCTGGGCCCGTCGCTCCTATGGGAAACGTCTCACTCAAGCTGTAATCTCCGAATTCTACCAAACAATCAACGAAACAAAGACCAGAGTAACCATATCTCTACCAACTGAAATGGACACTACACCTGCACCATCTAGAGCCACCACACTGCCGAACCAAACCCCTAA